AGCTGGCATCCACTCTTCCCCCAGTGCTCACCCCGCAGCCTCTGGGTGCACAACGCAGGCCCCCCGAGGCTCCACATGGTGGGCGGCCTCTCCCTGTGCCCCTCGTGGTCGCAACAGCAATGGGAAGGCGAGCCCAAGGCACAGGATCTCCTCGCCCCGCCCGGCCTCCCTCTGTCGGGGCACTTCAGGCTTCCTGGGAGAGCTGCTGTGGGGGGCGAGGGTCTTCCTGGAGGCCCTGCAGCCTCTTCTGAATCAGGGGCCCAGGGGTCCTCTCTCCAGCCATCCCCACTTCCGAGCTGGGCAGCCACGGCATGGGCGGTGGGGGGGGACCACGCCCCTGGGGGGAGGGAGCTTGTCCTGCGTTTCTGCCGTCCTTTGGGTTAAGGTGTGGGGATCTTTGTTACCAGGAGATGCTGTGGCCGCTAACACTTTAGCATGGAGAGGGACAGGCTGAGCCTGGCGGGGATCTGGGGCAGGGCAGGGCCAGCGCCCCGTGGGAGGGCAGGCGAAGGTGGGTGCTGGCAGGGAGGGCTCAGCGGCACGTGCCGAGACCGCTTTAGATGATCAGGGTCATAGCTGATCTTCCGAACCCTCACCCAGACGCCTCCCGCCCTGCTGTCACCCGACTGCCCCGAAGGAAGGAGTCCTGAGCGCAGGGAACACCACGTAGAGAATCTCAGAGCGCCCCGCGCTGCAGGGAGGGGCGGGCAGGGCTGGGACACCAAGGGTGGCCAAGAGGACCCTCAGGAAGGGGCGCTCCCTGCCACCAGGACCCAGAAACCTTGGCGGGCTCCTGAGCACAGGGGCCCCCAGACCCCTACTCAGCCCCTCATGGGCACTCACATCCCTCAAGCCCCTGACCTGCCTTCTTACTCCTCTGCTGCTCCCCCAACAGCTGCGCTTCTCCTCTCCAGCCACCCTGGGCCCCTCATGTCCCTGGGGAGACCCCTTACTCCTGCACTCTCCCTTGCTCAGGCTCTGCCTCCCACTGGCCCACCTGCCTCCTCCTCCAGGCAGCCTTCCTGGACTGTTCAAGCCCAAGCAAATGCTTCTTTTGCTGCGCTCCACAGGGTGAGCCCAGCACTCCTAATCCTGAGGCCAGGAGGCTTGTGAGAAAGACCCTACCCTGCAGACGCTGCTCTCACCGGCCTCCTGTGGCTCAGGTAAGCAGAAGAAAAGCAGGAGAGAAAGGAGCACAGTGGAGAGCCCCAGCCCCCGACCCAGGGACGTGGAGTGCCCTGGGGCTTGGCGGGGGAGGGTCTGAAACGGTGGGTCGGGAGGTGCCTGGGAACCCTCATTTTCAGAGCAGAAGCCCTGGGTGGGGATTCAGCCACACCTTCTGTCTCCTTAGTGGCCGGCATGGGGCTGGGCCCAGGCCAGGGGCTTGGTACTACAGCTGGGCCTATCTGTCCACCGCTGAGGCCTCGATGGGGCCACGGGCCTCCCAACCACAGGACCCCTGGCTGGCTAGAGGGGGCCATGAAGATCTGAGCTGAGTGGTCGTGGGACCCCGGGGCCCCCTGCACTGAGCCTCCTCTGTGCCCAGCTCACAGATCAGGAAACTGAAGCTCGGGGGGCGGGGGTGAGGACTTGCCCACACAGGACCCTCAGTGATCAGAGGCCCTGCAGGGGGCTGTGCTGCTGGAAGCCCTAGGGAGGTGAGTGGCTGTGAGCAGAGGGGTCCCGGCCCCCACGCCCACCCCGCTCTAGACACATGATGACAAAGCCTGTAACGTTTGGTAAGAGGCACAGTGCAGGCTGGCTGCTGTGCTGGTGTGTGTCGAATGAATGAATGAATGAATGAATGAGTGAGTGAGTGAGTGGGTGAGTGGGTGAGTGGATGAGTGGGTGGGTGAGTGGGTGAGTGCGTGAGTGAGTGGGTGAGTGGGTGAGTGGGTGAGTGGGTGAGTTAGTGAGTGGGTGAGTGGGTGAGTGAATGAGTGGGTGAGTGGGTGTGAGTGAATGAGTGGGTGAGTGGGTGGGTGAGTAGGTGAGTGGGTGAGTGAGTTAGTGAGTGGGTGAGTAGGTGGGTGAGTGAGTGAGTGGGTGAGTGGGTCAGTGGGTGAGTGGGTGGGTGGGTGGGTGGGTGAGTTAGTGAGTTAGTGAGTGGGTGAGTGGGTCAGTGGGTGAGTGGGTGGGCACATGCAGGCCCTCAACACTCAAGTCCACATGGGGGGCCCTTTGGCCACCTTTATTGAGAGATACAGGGGTTTGTTTTCGTGAGCTGCAGATAGCAGGGGTGGGGCTGCGTGTTTGAGCTCTGGGGGCCGTGCCATCCCCGGGGGCCGGCTCAGGGGCTCCGGACTCCGTGACCAATGCACTCATGGCACGTGGGGCCAGCTTCCGGGGTCACATCACAGCCTGGCCTTGAGCTAATGAGGCGAGATCGGGTGTCGTGGCTGTGTCCGTGGTGCGTGGACACGTACCCCTATCCACAGCAAATGCAGATAGGAGCGTAAAGACACCAGTGGAAAGGCCAGCTTCAGTGGCAGCCACAGACCCCGCCCCGGAAACCCCATGTCTACTGAGGGTCTGCCCCTTCTCAGGGTACCATCCGTTCTGTTAGTTCCGGAGGGTTCCTCCAGGGCAGAACCATCCAGCTGAGAGGGTGGAACGACCGCACACTCTTAGATGAGGAAACTGAGGCTCAAAAATTATGGCCCAAGGTCCAGGAGCCTCAGAGAAGGGTCTGAGGCTGCAGTGTCTGGCTTCAAATCCATGGCCTCATCCAGAGCCTGGCCTGAAGGGCCTTAGCATTTGCTAAACTCTGAGCCCACTCCTGAGCAGGGGTAGGGGCTGCGCTGACCTCTGGACCCCCCTGGCTGGCAGCAAAGGCGAAGCTCCCCTACCCAGAGCAGACCACGTCATGGGAGCTCTGCGGGGGAGCGAGGCCCCTCTGTGCCGGCCCTGTCTCCCTGGGGTTGGTGGCCCTCGGGGGCGGGGAGGCGAGGTTTGGCAGAAAGCTCAGCGGATGGGCTGGTCTCCCCCGGGCCCGGTCTTGGTGAGCCGAAGGGTCCTGTGGTTGGAGAGGGATTTTGTGGGGTTCAAGGAACCCATCAACTCAACAGCCAAATCCAAGTCACTGCAGATACTGTAGCATTAGACTCTCATAGATGGGGAAACTGAGTCAGGAGATGGCAAAGACCAGCTGTCCCGGGTCCTGGGTCCCCATGGGCTGTGCAGGCAGCCTGCTCAGAGCCCATTTCCCCTGGGCAGAGGCTGCTCTGAGACAGGGAGATCCTCGAAGAAATGGCCGAGAGTTGCTTTCTGGGGCTCCCAGCTCCCGGCTTCCCCCACCAGCTTCTCCTGGGACTGTCTTCTCTCGGGCTCAGGCAACCGTCCCGAGCCAGGGGCCTGGCCAGCCCTGTCCTCTGTGGGGTCTGGATCCTAGAGACCACGGAGGCGCCAGGTTTCCAACCGTCGGGAGGCTGGGGCCAGGGCTGCCGCCGCCAGAGGGTGACAAATGAGTCTGTGCCTCAGCCCAGGGCTGCTGGCCATGGTCCTGGGCGCATTGCTCCCCTTCTCACCTGAGGCCTGAGTCCCTGGGACCTGGCGTCTTGCTCAGGGACCAGGCACCATGGCTCCTGTCCCACATTCCTCTTCTCCAAGCATCCACCCGAAGCCCCCTCTGGGCCTGGCTGCCAGACCTCAGCCTGCACAGGCAGCAGCAGAGCACATGAAGGCTGCACCCTGTCCTGGCCGCGGCCACCTGGGCGGGTGTGGGAGGTCAGGCCCCTGATCCGGTGTCCCTTCTGCCCAGCCCGAGAGGCCACCGCCGAAGACCGTGAGGCAGAGGCCTGAGCCCCCTCCCACGAAGTATCCTGGCCTTGGTCTGGGTGAGGGCAGGAGGGAGGAAGGGAGGCAGGGTCTGGGCGATTCCAGGCTGGCCCAATTTCATCCTTTTTGGGCTCGTGGGTCCCTCTGGGGACTGCAGCTGCCTGCGGTGAGGGTGGTGGGAGGGACCCCTGGCCCCGGTTGTGGGTCCCCAGCTGGCCAGGCCTGAGCGGCGAGTCCGGGAGCATCCTTGGAACTGCCTGGGGAAGGTGGGGCGTGGGCCTGAGTGGCAGGGTCAGCGAGAGACGCCTAAAGCCATGGAGCCTGCGGGACGGGGGAGGGACTCCCCAGCTAGACAGAGGGGTGCAGGTCTCACGGATGCGGGACGGGGGAGGGACTCCCCAGCTAGACAGAGGGGTGCAGGTCTCACGGATGCGGGACGGGGGAGGGACTCCCCAGCTAGACAGAGGGGTGCAGATCTCACGGATGCGGGACGGGGGAGGGACTCCCCAGCTAGACAGAGGGGTGCAGGTCTCACGGATGCGGGACGGGGGAGGGACTCCCCAGCTAGACAGAGGGGTGCAGGTCTCACGGATGCGGGATGAGGGAGGGACTCCTCAGCTAGACAGAGGGGTGCAGGTCTCACGGATGCGGGACGGGGGAGGGACTCCCCAGCTAGACAGAGGGGTGCAGGTCTCACGGATGCGGGATGAGGGAGGGACTCCTCAGCTAGACAGAGGGGTGCAGGTCTCACGGATGCGGGACGGGGGAGGGACTCCCCAGCTAGACAGAGGGGTGCAGGTCTCACAGATGCGGGACGAGGGAGGGACTCCTCAGCTAGACAGAGGGGTGCAGGTCTCACGGATGCGGGACGGGGGAGGGACTCCCCAGCTAGACAGAGGGGTGCAGATCTCATAGATGCGGGACGGGGGAGGGCTCCCCAGCTAGACAGAGGGTCTCACAGATGTGGGCATGGGAACAGCAGCTCAGCTGCCTGAAGCCTGGCCCCACCCAGTACCTTTCATTCCCTTCTCTGGAACCACCCGCTGGTCTGGGACCAAAGAACGCGGCCTTTTGTGGCACACTGACTTCGCCCGGTTAGAGGAGCTGGGGACCCGCCCAGGGGACGCTGATGAGAAATGGGAAGTGGGGGCTGGGGGCAGGAGGGGTTCCAGGCCTCAGACTCCGGCACTGGCGGGCCTCTGCCTGACCCCCACCAAGGCTCCCCAGTGGGGGCTGCTCTGTCGGGGACAAGGACCCACGGCCGGGCTCTGCCTGGCCACGGCCCCGGAGCAGAGCCTAGTACAGCGTCTCGCGGGTGGCGTTGCTGGAGAGGGTGTGGCTGCTGGACATGCTGTTGGCCTTCCTCGAGAAGGCCAGTCTCTTCCTCCTGCGCGGCCACACGGGGCAGAGGCAGGCCAGCGTGGCCAGGAAGAGGTGGCGGAAGTTGGCGGACACGAGGTTGTACAGGATGGGGTTGACGGTGGAGCTGACGTAGAAGAGCACATTGGTGACCATGTAGAAGTAGTGATAGAAGTCATAGAGAAACCTGCGGGGAGAGACGCACTCAGACCCCAGATGGAATCCTCGGGGGCAGCCTGGGGGGAGAGGCACTGAGACCCCAGACGGAACTCCCAAGGCGGGGCCCCAGAGTGACAGCGGGGCCACAGTGGCCACAGGACGTGGTGGCTCAGATGCTAATTAAAACACCACTTGGGAGCGGTGGTGCATGAGGACATTTCGTAACTAGCTCCAGGGTGTGGCGTCTCCTGAGCAGCGGAAGTTCTGGTTGCGTCCCCCCCCCCCCCACCGCACCCTCCCCGGCCAGGGCTTCTTTAGGTGGGGCCTGGGCTCTGCTCCTCCACCCCTGCCTCTCCCCGAGCCACCTGCACTGCCTTTCAAAGTCCTGTGCATCCAGGGGTCCAGGGCATGGCCGGTCTCCAGCCTAACCAAACAGCCAGGGCCGGAGCCCCCTCCGCGCCTCCCCAGCAGCCACACACCTTGTCCTCAACACGTCACCTCCACCCACAGAGATCTCCCTCCCTCACCAGGCAGCTCAATTACCAGCAGGCAGCCCTGAGTTTCAGAAGCTTTTCTGGGGGCCGAGCTCTGCTCCCTGTGCCTCCACCAGCTCTGGGTCCTAGGCATGCCCTCCCCAGTGGCTGTCACTGGGAGGAACCTTTTATCCTGGGACCTGGCGACCCTGAGGCCCAAAGCTGCCATCTCAGGATACCCAGCTGAGACTCTGGACTTTGTTGCATGCCAGGCAGTGGGTGGCCCTGTGATCGGCCCCCACATCGTCCTGTGCGGCTCCTCTGGGAGGGGCCCTGGAAGCTGCATCTGGTCTCCCCCTGACCCTACTCCGTGTCTGCTCCCTTTGCTGACTCTGCTGTATTAGCAAAGCAAAGCCTTGTCAGGATTGCACCTCTTGCTGGGATAAGTCACAGCCCTGAGTGTAACTGCAGGCTGAGCCCGGTGGGTCCAACCAGGGTGGCCTTGGGGCTCTGACAGCGGCCATATAGGGAGGTGACACACCCACCATGTCCCTGCTAGAGCCAGGGATGTCTCTCTTTAGGCCTTCAGGAAACTGCCTGGGCCGGCTCCTAGGACCAACTTTCCGTCTCTGCTCCAGACTGGCCTGCTCAGCCTCTGCCCTGAACCTGTCCCTCCATGGCCTCCTCCCAGCCCCAGTCACGGCACACCCCTGCCCAGGGGGTCACCGGGGGGCTCACCACACCCCAGTCACAGCACACCCCTGTCCAGGAGGTCACTGGGGGACTCACCACACCCCTGCCCTGAGCAGGTCCTCTCGGCAGTGCCTGCCACACCATGTATTTTGGGGAGCACTTGCCCAGAACCCGACCTCCCAGTACTCACGGAGTCCACTGCTCGTCCGAAATGTAGCAGAACATGAGGCGCCGTGTGTGGTAGGGCAGCCAGCAGACCACAAAGGCAATGACCACCGCACCTGAGACACAGAGATGTAGACTCAGTGGGGAGACATGGGCTCAGAGTCAGAACTCAGGCTCAGAGACAGGACTCAGAGACAGGACAGACTCAGAGATAGGACTCAGGCTCAGAGACAGGACTCAGGCTTAGAGACAGGACACAGGCTCAGAGACAGGACTCAGGCTCAGACAGGACACAGACTTAGAGAAAGGACTCAGGCTCAGAGACAGGACACAGGCTCAGAGACAGGACACAGGCTCAGAGACAGGACGCAGACTCAGAGACAGGACACAGGCTCAGAGACAGGACTCAGGCTCAGAGACAGGACACAGGCTCAGAGACAGGACGCAGACTCAGAGACAGGACACAGGCTCAGAGACAGGACACAGGCTCAGAGACAGGACGCAGACTCAGAGACAGGACACAGGCTCAGAGACAGGACACAGGCTCAGAGACAGGATGCAGACTCAGAGACAGGACACAGGCTCAGAGACAGGACTCAGACTCAGACAGGACTCAGGCTCAGAGACAGAACTCAGACTCAGAGACAGGACTCAGGCTCAGAGACAGGACTCAGACTCAGACAGGACTCAGGCTCAGAGACAGAACTCAGACTCAGAGACAGGACACAGACTCAGGGACAGGACTCAGGCTCAGAGACAGGACTCAGGCTCAGAGACAGGACACAGACTCAGAGACAGGACACAGGCTCAGAGACAGGACTCAGACTCAGAGACAGGACACAGGCTCAGAGACAGGACACAGACTCAGAGACAGGACTCAGGCTCAGAGACAGAACTCAGACTCAGAGACAGGACACAGACTCAGGGACAGGACTCAGGCTCAGAGACAGAACTCAGACTCAGAGACAGGACACAGACTCAGGGACAGGACTCAGGCTCAGAGACAGAACTCAGGCTCAGAGACAGGACACAGGCTCAGAGACAGGACGCAGACTCAGAGACAGGACACAGGCTCAGAGACAGGACTCAGACTCAGACAGGACTCAGGCTCAGAGACAGAACTCAGACTCAGAGACAGGACTCAGGCTCAGAGACAGGACTCAGACTCAGACAGGACTCAGGCTCAGAGACAGAACTCAGACTCAGAGACAGGACACAGACTCAGGGACAGGACTCAGGCTCAGAGACAGGACTCAGGCTCAGAGACAGGACACAGACTCAGAGACAGGACACAGGCTCAGAGACAGGACTCAGACTCAGAGACAGGACACAGGCTCAGAGACAGGACACAGACTCAGAGACAGGACTCAGGCTCAGAGACAGAACTCAGACTCAGAGACAGGACACAGACTCAGGGACAGGACTCAGGCTCAGAGACAGGACTCAGGCTCAGAGACAGGACACAGGCTCAGAGGCAGGACTCAGACTCAGAGACAGAACTCAGACTCAGAGACAGGACGCAGACTCAGAGACAGGACGCAGACTCAGAGACAGGACTCAGGCTCAGAGACAGGACACAGGCTAAGAGAAAGGACTCAGACTCAGACAGGACTCAGTCTCAGAGACAGAACTCAGACTCAGAGACAGGACACAGACTCAGAGACACGACTCAGGCTCAGAGACAGAACACAGGCTCAGAGACAGAACTCAGACTCAGAGACACGACTCAGGCTCAGAGACAGAACACAGGCTCAGAGACAGAACTCGGGCTCAGAGACAGGACTCGGGCTCGGGGACAGGACACAGACTCAGAGACAGAACTCGGGCTCAGAGACAGGACACAGGCTCAGAGACAGAACTCGGGCTCAGAGACAGGACTCAGGCTCAGAGACAGGACACAGACTCAGAGACAGGACTCAGGCTCAGAGACCGAACACAGGCTCAGAGACAGGACACAGACTCAGAGACAGGACTCAGGCTCAGAGACAGGACTCAGGCTCAGAGACAGGACACAGACTCAGAGACAGGACTCAGGCTCAGAGACAGGACACAGACTCAGAGACAGGACTCAGGCTCAGAGACTGAACACAGATTCAGAGACAGGACTCAGCCTCAGAGACAGGACTCAGCCTCAGAGACAGGACAGACTCAGAGACAGGACTCAGGCTCAGAGACAGGACACAGGCTCAGAGATAGGACTCAGGCTCAGAGACCAGCCTAGCCAACATGGTGAAATCCTGTCTCTACTAAAAATACAAAAATGAACCAGGCATGGTGGCAGGCACCTGTAATCCCTAGCTACTCGGGAAGCTCAGGCAGGAGAATCGCTTGAATCCAGGAGATTGCAGTGAGCTGAGATGCAGCCATTGTACTCCAGCCTGGGCAACAAGAGCAGAACTCCTCAAAAAACAAAAACAAAAACAAAAACAAACTCCTAGGAGAAAACATTCTGACTTCACAGCATTGAGTTTGGCAATGATTTCTTGGGTATGACACCAAAAGCACAGGTCACAAAAGGAAAAAGTAGATACATTGAACAACATAAAAATTAAATTTCTGTGTGTCAAAGGGTGTAATCAGGAGAGTAGAAGTCAGCTCACAGAAAGGGAAGAAATATTTGCAAATCACATCTGATAATGAGTTAATACCAAGAGCAGAGGTCCTAAGGCTCAACATAAAAACAAACAATCCAATTCAAACATGGGCAAAGGACTCAGCCAGTTCTCCAAAGATGTCAAAGGTTGACAAGCACGTGAAAAGATGTTATCGATCATGCATCGTAAATCACTGGACAAATGCAGCTCAAAACCACAATGAGATGCCACCTCAAACCTATTAGGACGGCTACTACTAAAAAGTCAGGCCACGCCAGGCCCAGGTCACACCTCGGAGGACGGTCAGCCAGCCAGCGTCGCGTGCTGGCGCTGGTCCTCAGGGTTCTGATAGGACGGGCCCTGCCCTGCTGGGGGCGTCACCAGCCCCGAACGCTCTGTGTCCAAAGCCCTGGGTGGTTCCCATGAGCAGGGAAGGCCAAGCCCAGAGCCAGGCTCTCTCAGGCTGATGCGCTTGGCTGTGGGCCTCTCCTGTGGCTGGCCACACGCTTGAACAAGCCCTGAACATGGGCCAGCACCAGGGAGGACTCAAGTCAAATGCTTCAGGCAAAGCAACCTAAGACCTGGGTCTCGGGTGTGAAAAGGCTTCATTCTCTGCAGTCCCCATCACATGCTCCAAGGCCTGTGTGGACAGCAGCGTCCACCCTGCCCCTACCCCTGCCTTCTTGCCAAGCATCTCCCTCCACAGGGCCTCTGCTCCAGCCAATGCCTCGCCACAGCTCTGTTGCCCAGACGGGCTCCTGGTCCTTGGGACTTGCAGGATGCCACCTGCTCTGGGAGCCCCTCCCAGCTGGCAGATGTAGTGGTGGGCGTGGTATTCTTTTCACCCTGCTCAGCTCCTCATGTCTGAAGGTGCCTGGTGCCTGTGCTTGCTTCCAGGGTGGAGCCCCTGCTCTCCCAGAGTGCAGGGTTGCTCCTGCCTCTGCTACCTCCACACCTGTGAGCAAGAATGAGTGAGACCCAGGCTGGGCACTGAGCAGACTGCAGAGCAAATGAATGAGTGAGCACATGAGCAAGTGGATGAATGGATGAAGGGATGGAGGGAGGGAGGGAGAGAGGGATGAATGAATGGAGGAATGGAACGAGGGATGGAGGGAGGGAGGAGGGAGGGAGGGAGGAGGAAGGGAGGGGGGAAGGAGGGGGGAAGTAGGGGGGAGTGATGTATGGAGAGGGATGAATGAATGGAGGAATGGAAAGAGGGATGGAGGGAGGGGGAGGGAGGAGGAAGGGGGGAGGGAGGAGGGAGGGAGGAGGAATGAAGGGAGGGAGGGAGGGAGGGGGGAAGGAGGGGGGAGTGATGTATGGAGAGGGATGAATGAATGGAGGAATGGAACGAGGGATGGAGGGAGGGAGGAGGGAAGGAGGGAGGGATGAATGAATGGAGGAATGGAATGAGGGAGGGAGGGAGGGAGGGGTGAAGGAGGGGGGAGTGATGTATGGAGAGGGATGAATGAATGGAGGAATGGAAAGAGGGAGGAGGGAGGGAGGGAGGGAGGGAGGGAGGAAGGGAGGGAGGGATGTATGGAGAGGGATGAATGGAGGAATGGAAAGAGGGATGGAAGGAGGGGGAGGGAGGGAGGGAGAGGTGGAGGAGTGAATGGAGGGAGGGAGGAGGGAGGATGGAGGGGTAATAGATGGCACTCACCCCTGCAGGGAGCTGGCACCCTTGGTCTTGGCCTGACAGCTCCATCCCCATGTCTTTAAACCTTGCCCAGGCTCAGGGTGGTTCCATGCTGCCTGCCCTTGCTGGCCCTGGCCCGCCTCCCGCCCCACAGGGACCAGAGTACGTACGGAGGACGTGTACGCCGTGCCGCAGGGCCTGGACCCTGCCGGGCTCGATGGCCATGCTGAACGTGCTGTGCTGGTCCCCCACCTGGCCCTGCTCGGCGGCCTGGCGGACCATGACCGTCAGCTTGTTGGCGATGATGGTGTTCAGGACGGAGATGACCACCATGGGGAAGATGAAGGACATGAAGGTGTTGACCTGCGGGAGAGGAAGGGTGGGGCGTCGTGGCCGGCAGCGGGACTCACGCTGGCCGGGGTGTCAGGCCTGCACGCTTGGTGGCCCTCAGTCACCACCGGCTCAGGAGGTCCAGCCCTGTCCCGGCTGCCCGTAGACACGGCCGCCCTGGCCACAGTGCTAAGCTCGTTCCCAGCCTGTCCCAACTAGAAAGAAGTTCGCAGACTCCCCCACCTTCGTGAGCGCCTCCCGAGGGTCCCGCCTGGACACGGCAAGGAGCATACACGCTGGGGTGTCACTGGGGTGTGGCTGTGGCAAAGGCCCCAGGCTCTAGGTTCCCAGGTCTGGGCACGTTGCGTCCATGCCTGAGGCCCCCAAGCACGTAACTGCCCTGCCCGAGGCCAGTCTCGGAGGACGGCCGAGCCCCGGCCTTGCGGCTGGGTGCCGCCGCTTCCCGCAGGTCCTGACAGCTCACGCTAACAGAAGCCCCTTCCTCCCACCCACCCCAGCTACCTCTCGGGGCACTGAAAGGTACAGGGCCCCTCTTATTAGCACCTGGAGCCCCCACTGCCTGCCCCCGCCAGCTGCCACACCCACCCACGAGGCTGGGCCATCACAGCCGCTCTGTGCCTGATCCGAGCCCTGGACAGGCTAGAGGTCTGCCCAGAGACTCCGGCGCCGGAGGGGCAGCGCCGGGATTTGAGCCTGGCCTGAGCCGAGTCCTGCTCCTTCTGCGACTCCTGCGTGAGTCTCGACTTTGCAGGCACTGGCCAGGTGGCTGCGGCTTCCCCAGATGGGGCAGCGGCCCAGCCTCCCCCTCAGCCAGAGCTGGAAGGGGACGCATCTGTGGACGCGCAGCAGCGGAGCGAGCCGGAACGAGCCAGGGCGGGTTTGGCCCGGCTTCTGATGGAGAAACCAGCCCCTCCACGGGGGGCGGAACGACAGCCATCAGAGTCTTCAAGAGCGTCCTCGGCCTTGGATTCTTTGTAAGACACTCTTCCCCGAAAACCAGATCTCGGCGCTTCTGGCTTCTGCACTTGCAGGCTCCATCTCGTGCTGGGGACGAGGCCTGCCCCTCTCTGCCAGGCTGCCCGGGACCGCTCCATCTCATGCTGGGACGAGGGCTGCCCCTCTCTGCCAGGCTGCCGGGGACCAATCCATCTCGTGCTGGGGACAAGGCCTGCCCCTCTCTGCCAGGCTGCCGGGGACCGCTCCATCTCGTGCTGGGGACGAGGGCTGCCCCTCTCTGCCAGGCTGCCGGGGACCGATCCATCTCGTGCTGGGGACGAGGGCTGCCCCTCTCTGCCAGGCTGCCGGGACCGATCCATCTTTTGCTGGGGACAAGGCCTGGCCCTCTCTGCCAGGCTGCCCGGGACTGATCCATCTCGTGCCGGGGACGAGGGCTGCCCCTCTCTGCCAGGCTGCCCGGGACCCTCATGCTGAATTGCTGATTCCGAGAAGCTTTTGGGTGTGTTGGAGAAGTGGCCTGTACTGGCTCTGTGGCTGGTGGCTATGATTTCCATAGGAAGCCCAGGAATATCTGCCACGGGGGTTCCCTCAGCTGGGCTGCAGGGGCCTCCTCCCTCCCGACCTCTCACTGGAGAGAGCAGAGCTGTGTAGCCTCAACAGTTCAGGTCAGGATGGCCCCAGTGAGGACAATCCTCGCCTTGTCCCGCTAACGAAGGTGGCAGTGGCCACGGGACAGGGCAGCCACTGAGAGGCGGGAATGTCGGCGCGTGGGTTTTCTCCCTGGCCCGCTCCGGGCACTGGCTGAGGCACCTCTGACGGTCCTTCCTGTTCCCACCGAAGTGCCAGGCTCCACTCAGAAGCACTCAGAGACCTTCAGGGAGGAGACGGCCCAAGCTCACCCTCAGGTTCCATTTGAGCAAAGATCTGCTAAATGGCTCAGAGGACATGCATGAGGGGGAGACTCAAACCCCTGGGAGGCAGCGTCCTGCACCTGCCTGTCCAGCACCCTTTGCTCCTGCCTGGTGGGCTCCTGAGAGCCACCACCATCGCCGCTGACCCTGCTGGGTGGCAGGTCTGTTCTGCCCTCCCCCATGTGGGCTTTGGGATCTGGGGCCACCCCACACCCCCACATTCTGCTGCTCTGCTTGAAGTCCAACTTCTGCAGGATGACGAGGTGCTGACGAGGCTGGGGGCGGGTGAAAGTGCCTCTGCCCACTCTGGCTGCTGGGAGCGGGGTGGGGAATGGCTGGGCCCAGCCTCAGGAGACAAACCAATTCCGTGAGTCACCACAGCCCCGGCATAGTTTAAACACCAATGTATCCAACACAGATTTTAAATGTCAAAACATTTAAAATACCAACCTCACCGACACAGGCAGCAAAAATAGCTGCCTCTGGGGGCTGGTGGGCTGCAGGGTCTGGCCCCAGTCCTCTGGCTGCCCCTGTTGGGGGAAATCAGATCCTGGGTACTGCAGTTCCCAGAGGTAGGGAGAGGAGGCCCCTCCCCTGCAGCGCCCAAGCAGAGGCCACCGAGGGGCCACGGGTGCAGACAGAGGTGGCGCAGCCCTGCCTCCAGCTCCTGCCCACCGTGGAGGCTGAGGCCGAGTAGGACTCGGGGCTGAGGGGAGTGCCCCTACTCCTGGGGTCAGCCTTCTCTCCTCAGACCACAGCTGGAAGCGGGGGCTTCGGCCGGAGCCATTCTTCCTGTCATCTCTCCTGCTCTGGGGAAGGAGCTGCCTGCCCCCGACGACAAGCAAAGGGAGCATCAGTGAGCAGCGGGGCTTAGAGGAAGGGCTGCCGTGGTGCCTGGGGCTTGGAGGGCTGAGCCAGGCTAAGGACAGGCCCTTCCTGGGCAGAAGGACCCACTGAGATCACGTCTGTACATCCAGTCCCCATGAAACGCCAGAGCTTTCGTGGTAGACACACCGCAGCTCCACAACTTAAGTGGGAGTCTCAGAATGGCCCGGAAGGTTCTTGAAAGGAAGCGTGGCAGGTCGCTGGGACGCGGGAGCCTCAGCCTCGCCAGCCGCTGGCACGCACCGAGAATGACATCAATGAGGAGAATTCAGCATCCACAGTGCCCGGTCAGACAGAAGCTCGGCCGGTGACGGACACAGCATCCACGTCGTCAGGAGAGGACTGGCCACCCAGGCATGGCGCTGGACAGCTGGCACACTGGACCACAGGAAGCTGGGTCCTCAGGGCCCCTGGGGACCCGTGCACCCTCCATCTCGCTGGCATGTGACCCAGACCTGGCCAATCAGCATACCCCAAAAGGCTTGGGGGCCCCTCACTGGACAGACAGATCAGCCAAAGAGCCATCCCCGCACCGATCTCAGTGGTCTGACGCGGGCCACCCCAGGGCCTTGCCAGACACTAGCTTTGCCTGGGCTCACCGAGCAGGAGAGGGCATCTGTGGCCGTGGGTGCCATTCTCCTACCTTTCAGGGAAGACCTGCCTAAGAATGAAGCCAGCAAGGGTGGAAGGGAGTACCTCAGGACATCACTGTGCTCCCGGGCCAAGCTGTGCCTTTAGCTGGTACTCGGACTTTCAGTGTGTCTTGAGCGAGAGAAATCTCCCTTTTCTCACAGAGATCACCCCACCTCACAGAGATCTCACATCAGAAAAATTCCAGAGGGTCAGAAGATTAAAAAGATTAAAACCTAAAACCAAAACCCGTAACATTACTAAAAGAAATCATGGAAGTTTTACATTTAAATGTATATATTTTTAACCTTTCCCCCAGCCTTATTGAGGCATAATTGGCAAATAAAAATTGTATCTATTGGCTGGATGCTGTAGCTCATTCCTGTAATCCCAGTATTTTTGGGAGGCTGAGGCAGGAAGATCCCGTGAGGCCAGGAGTTTGAGATCAGCCTGGGCAACACAGTGAGATCCCCATCTCTACAAAAACTGAAAAAACCAGCCAGGCATGGTGGCGTCATATGCCTATAGTGCCAGGTACTTGGGAGGCTGAGATGGGAGGATCACTTCAGCCCAGAAGTTTGAGGCTATGGTGAGCCATGACTGCCACCGCACTCCAGCCTGGGCAGCAGAGCGAGACGCCCGTCTCCAAACATTTGTACCTAGTTGTCATGTACAATGTGATGTTTTTATAGATGTGTACGCTGTGAAAGGATCGTCACCGTCAAGCTCGTGAGCACATCCATCACCTCACATCGCCCCTTTTTTGTGGTGAGAACACAAGATTTGTTCTCCTAGGAAATTTTTTTTTTTTTTTTTTTTTTTTTTTTTTTTTTGAGACGGAGTTTCGCTCTTGTTACCCAGGCTGGAGTGCAATGGCGCAATCTCGGCTCACGGCAACCTCCGCCTCCTGGGTTCAGGCAATTCTCCTGCCTCAGCCTCCTGAGTAGCTGGGATTACAGGCACGCGCCACCATGCCCAGCTAATGTTTTGTATTTTTAGTAGAGACGTGGTTTTACCATGTTGACCAGGATGGTCTCGATCTCTTGACCTTGTGATCCACCCGCCTCGGCCTCCCTAAGTGCTGGGATTACAGGCTTGAGCCACCGCGCCCGGCCCCTCCTAGGAAATTTTGAGTGTGCAACGCTGTATCGTTAACTCTGGTCCTCAAAGCTCCGGAACTTACTCGCCTTATCACCTAAACTCGGCAACTCTTGAGCTACCCCTTCCCATTCCTCACTCCCCTCCCCCAGCCCTCAGTGTTCTGCTTTTTCACGAGTTTTTTTCAGATTCCACGCATAAGCAAGACCACACAGCATGTGTCTCTGCACTGGGCTTATTTCACTTCGCGTAGGTCCCCAGGCTCACTGCGGTTACTGCACGTGACAAGATCCGTTCATGTTTCAAGACTGAGCACTCTCCCCATGTATCCACACCACGTCTGCTCCAGCTGCTGGTCTGTTGAGGGACCCCTGGCTGGATTCCGTGTCCTGGCTATTATGAGCAGTGCCGCAGTGGACGTGGGCATGCAGGGATTTTTTGAGATCCGGATTCCACTCGGTTGCATAAACACCAGCAGCGGGATTGCTGCATGCTATGGTGGCCCTATCTTTAACTTTTCTGAGGAGCCCC